TTTAAACTGAAGCCATGGATGCCTAAATGTGTATGGCTGTATATCCAACTGTTATCCCCTATCCACTTCCGCTAGAATGGATTGTGAGCAAGTCACTGTTTTTTATGGGTGGGGAAGGTACAGTGTTGTGACAGACCTAATTTTACCTCCTGTTTTTTTGCATAGGTACTTCTGTAAAACCTTATGAATTACATAAAACCATATACAGGACTATATAGCACTTTAAAGACTAACAAGATGGTTTATTAGATGATGAGCTTTCGTGGGCCAGACCCACTTCCTCAGATCAAATAGTGGAAGAAAATAGTCACAACCATATATACCAAAGGATACAATTAAAAAAAAAAGTGAACACATATGAAAAGGACAAATCACATGTGTTCACTTTTTTTTAATTGTATCCTTTGGTATATACGGTTGTGACTATTTTCTTCCACTATTTGATCTGAGGAAGTGGGTCTGGCCCACGAAAGCTCATCATCTAATAAACCATCTTGTTAGTCTTTAAAGTGCTTCATAGTCCTGTATTTTGTTTCAGCTACACCAGACTAACACGGCTACATTTCTATCACTATAAAACCATATATTTCTGTGTTAAGTAATGTAGCATGTAACAAGCAAAAATAAACTTTAATTGAAAGTATAAACATTTTAAATTATGAAACAATATAGCAAACAGCTTATTATCAAACAACTGCAAGAAACCTCTAGTTAAAACAATAGTCATAGTAGCAAGGTGCAGGGCACAACACAAGGAGAGATGGTTTAAAGTCACTAGTGCTCTGCCTGTTCCTGTTTGTGGCCCCTCTGGAATTGAATAGTGAGGCTCAACGTTGCTGGGATGCTAGAGGGCTCAAAAGAGCTGAGTTCCTAAGTTCAACTGTTTTCAGTATCCTACCTTGGCTTTGGTGAAGGGAAAAGCCTCTGGAAGCATTGCTGTGAGAGGCACAACGGGGAGGATTTGATGGTGCTTCCAGTATCCTGTATCATCCAGAGGCTACAAAATGTGGCCAGCTCCTGGTTTACAACAGTTCAGTGCCTGCTAACCTAACAGCAGCATTCCCTGCAACAGAGCATTTTGGATTTTTGCTGCCTCCAGGAGTTGCTTCTGCCTCTCCTTGCTTTTTTTCTTTTTTCATGCTTTCTTCAGCCATGGCTATGTTGTCCCTGGCAACTGCCATGTTGTCCTTTGCTGCTCCCTTGATCTCTCTGACGACTTCCCTGTCCATTTCCTGCTCCACCTGACAATTGTGCCTCCAGCCTGCCATTATTTTCAGGGGTTTTGGGACTCAGCAGCAATGTTCACAAACATTTACCACAAGTTTTCTGTTTTCTCCCCCTCGGGTTTCTAAGCTGCTCTGCTATTGATAAGGGTAGAGGGAGGTGCCATGGCTGTGAGTGGGGCTTTTTAAAGACATTCTTCTTGTTCTTACTTTAGAGAGGTTGTGATAGCATTTTTATATGTATTTTTGACTTTACCTACAGCAGTATTGGATATTATGTTCCTGGTGTGGCTTTGCATCTTTGGTGAGCCTGGGAGATTCTTATATGATGGAAGGTTTATCGCCATAATTGTGATATACTCAAATCCAGGAAAATAGCAAAATTTGGCCCCACACCAGCTTTAAATGGAGGTGGGAACAGCCATTTAACTGGATACCAGAGCAGGAAAGGCATACGGGTAAACAGGTCAGTGACAGTCGCCCTGCAAAGCAGTGTGGGACAGCTGTTGGAAGACTGCAAAGCAGTGCTCAGCAGCATTGTGTGCACACAAGCAGTACACCAAACTAACTTGGTTAGCAGCAAAGTTAGTTCATTTTGCAAGACGACTCCAGAATTCCCAATAAATGTGGGGCTAGTGTGATTGTGTCATGTATGCAAGCATTTGCAAACTGGATTAACTTGATTTAATCTGGTTTAAATCCCCTGCATAGTCAAGCCCTGTGTCTGCCTTATGACTTAAAAACCCCCCACAAAGAAACCTTGTTCAACAGTCAGGTTAAACAATGCTATTCAAACCCTGAAGGGACCTCCTCCAGCATGGTTTAGCTGTATTGGACAGGCTTTGCAAGGTTTGTGGCAGAACCCGATTAATTGGGCTTCCCAGGCAAATCCATTGTACGTGGCCCGATTCCAAAAAGGTAAATGTTTGAAGAGTATGATATTTTCAAGCAGTAATGCTGGACAGGCCAGAGTGTGAGTTAGAAATGATTTAAACTTATTGTTTGGTTTCTTTGAATGGCAAAGCTTCCATGAGTGCTAGACTGGATCTCTCATGTGATACTGAAAACATTTCAACTTCATGCTAATTGTGTTTGTGGTAGTAGAACAGTAATATAAACTTGATGCTTCCTTGTTTATAAAATAGGCTTCA